TTAAATAAGTTACAGATTAGTTGTGAAAATGCTGGTGTGAATGAGTGTATGTATGAGTTGTTTTGGGGTGGGGGGGGGTTACCTGTTTGTTCACTTTTGGTTTGTGTACAAGAAAAAAAAAAGTAAAGGGGCCGAACAATATTGCACGCCCCACTTTTCAGTTTTTTATTTGTTAAAAAAGTTTAAATTATCCAATAAATTTCGTTCCACTTCACGATTGTGTCCCACTTGTTGATTCATGACACAAAATTACAATTTTATATCTTTATGTTTGAAGCCTGAAATGTGGCGAAATGTTGAAAGGTTCAAGGGGGCCGAATACTTTCGCAAGGCACTGTATAAATGATTATGGATATAGGTTCATATATGAATGATTATGGATATAGGCTCAGTATATAAATCCATCCATCCATCCTCTTCTCCTTAATCCATTTCTGGGTCAGGGGGGTGGCAGTCAGTGCTGCACCCAAATCACAGAGCACCAGCCCCTCACTGACCCTCTGCAGGTGGTGAGTCCACAGGAAGACGGCTGCTCTGTCAATGTAAGCATAGCCTTGATCTTTCAGTGGGGGCTTTGGGCAAAGTGGGGTTAAGTGTCTTGCCCAAGGACACAACGACAGCAGTCATCAGTGGGAGTCAGTATATAAATGATTATGGATATAGGTTCAGTATATAAATGATTATGGATATAGGTTCAGTATATAAATGATTATGGATATAGGTTCAGTATATAAATGATTATGGATATAGGTTCAGTATATAAATGATTATGGATATAGGTTCAGTATATAAATGATTATGGATATAGGTTCATATATAAATGATTATAGATATAGGTTCAGTCGTCGATGATTGACAGCCCTTGGCATGACTCGATTGGTTAACGTGGACGGCATCGTGGATTCTATAGCTTAGCTATAGCTAAGAGAAGGGAAGGAGGAACTTACCTGTAATATTATAATTAATAAAATGACTTATTTTATATCAACATTTTAGGCCAGGAGGTCAATTTAACACAATTCTTAACATTTGTAATTCATTTAGAGTTCCAGACACTTTAACAGTGTGGTGATGAGGGAACTGAAGACATCTGTGCCTGCTCCAGGACCACACCCGCAGGAGCCATGCCTGAAACAAAACACACAAAAACCACACAGGGGCGCCACAACAACATGTTTATATTGTTTTTCACATTAATCAATACAAACAAATACATGGTTGAAAATATAGTAGTTGTAGAAAGTAATAGTAGTTGTAGAAGTACTAGTATATGTCATGAACTGACCTGGTAGATCTGAGAAATCAGGAAAACTGGAGCACATTACTGACTGTAAGAACATCCCTGAGCCCATTCAAAGGAGCTCCGTGGGTTTCTTTGAGCAGGTGAGGCCACTTTTAAAGAGGCCAAGTCCTGCAGTACCCTCTCTCCCCCGGGTCGCTCCCCTCCTTCTGGGTCACATCCCCAGGAGCTCGCACCTTAAGTCCACCTGTTCAGGGAAGTGAGGCGGGATTCTCTGCCAATAAGACCAGGCCAGAGTCAACCGTGAGGCATAGCTTTATTATCACTCAATAACTCCGGGCTCGGATATAAAAAAAGTAGTAGAAGTGGTGGTAGTAGTTGTAGTAGTAGTAGTAGTTGTCGTTTAGTAGTAGTAGCAGTAGAGGTAGTAAGTAGTAGTATAGTAGTACTAATTGAATCTGAAGAGACCAAAGACACAATTAATACATTCAAAAATATTTATTTATTTGGCGCATTGACCCCGGCAGTGACACTTGCAGCAATGAGATCGATAGCAGCTGAAGATGATCTCAGACCCCCCGGGGTCAAGCACTGATGGGGGCTAGAGTATGGTGTGAATGGGGCGTAGGCGGAGCAGGAGCCAGAGGAAGAGCCAGAGGAGGAGCCAGAGCAGGGCTAGAGCGGGAGCCAGGGCAGGAGCCAAAGCAGGAGCCAGGTCAGGATCCAAAGCAGGAGCCAGGTCAGGATCCAAAGCAGGAGCCAGGGCAGGAGCCAGAGCAGGAGCCAGGGCAGGAGCCAAAGCAGGAGCCGGAGCAGGAGCCAGGTCAGGAGCCAAAGCAGGAGCCAGGGCAGGAGCCAAAGCAGGAGCCAGAGCAGGAGCCAAAGCAGGAGCAGGAGCCGGAGCAGGAGCCGGAGCAGGAGCCAGAGCAGGAGCCAGAGCAGGAGGAGCAATTAGGGCCAGCGAGGCTCCTGCTGAGTGCGCGCACGATCCCCCCGAGGCCTAGGAACTGGTGGTGGCACTAGGGCAGCAGGAAAGAGTGCACGCTCGAGCAAGGAGATAGAGGCGGAGGAGGGGAGGCGGAGGAGGGGAGGCGGAGGAGGGGAGGTGGTGGTTTGCGAGGCTTGAGAAGGCCGTGAAGTGGGAGTCTCCGCTTTTAAGCTGCTTGCCTGGCCTGCATAGGTTGGCTGGGAATGGGCGTTTGATGTGTGATTGGAGGGGATAGCTTTGGCAATCAGTCTACCAGATTGAACCTTCGCGAGCTCCATTTGTCAGGGAGTGGCTAACTTTTAAATGCCCGCTTGGCTGTCAGAAGGTTGGCAGGAGGCTGGCAGGGCTTTGTGATTGGTGGGCTTAGAAGGGGGATTTTGCACTCTGTCTTTCAGTTTTGAATTTGCACATTCAGCTTAATTTGTATAGTAATTATTTATTTTGAGGACACGCATCTGCCTACACACGGGCCCACGGACGGACGGGCTTTAGATCGAGGACTCAGACTGTAGAACGAGGACTGAGGCTGTAGATCCAGGACCTAAGCTACAGAACGTGGACCAGCGGCCACTGAACATGGACAGGTCCGGTGTAGGACTGAAGAACTCCCAGGCAGGTTGGGCGGGGACCTGCCTGGGAGCCTGCCTGTAGATGGAGGAGGCCAGGTCCAGAGGTCCCGTCATTGTACCATGGAACAGACAATGTGACAATGAGACAATGGGTGAATAGCAATGAACTGCAGTCAAAATCCTATTAATGCTAAACAGATAAAGTAGGAAGGAGGAGAGGATAGTGCTGTTACCATACTTCTCCAGCAGGGGGCTCCCTATGCAGCTTGACTGACAGTCTGAGGAGTTTAGCCTTCCCTGAGTCTTACCTTCCTAGCCATATGCTAAACTAAAGAGGACTGTTTTAGCCTAAACTAGAGTGTAGGGTTGAAGATGAAGCGGACCGGGTCCCATATACGCAGACTCCAAGACCGGACGAGACCTGACCGGACAAACAACCTAGCCAAATGCTAAGTTAAGAAGAGTGTTTTAAGCCTGGCCTTAAACGTAGAGACAGTGTCTGCTTCCTGAACGTGGGTGAAGCTGATTCCACAGTAAACGAGCTTGGAGCTAAATGCTCTGCCACCAACAGTGCTTTTTGAAACCTTAGGGACCACCAGACGTCTGGCGTTTTGCGAGCGCAGTGCTCGGCTTGGTTGATAAGACATTACCAAGGCTTGAAGATAAGAAGGAGCCACGCCATTTGTGGCTTTGAATGCCAAAAGAAGAATTTAGAACTTTATTCTTAATTTAATATTTTTTATTTACAAACACAAACACATAGGACTCATGCCCGCCTACACACAGGGCATTTACAAACACATAGGACTCATGCCCGCCTATACACAGGGCATTTACAAACACATAGGACTCATGCCCGCCTACACACAGGGCATTTACAAACACATAGGCCTTTTCCGTGTGCACGCATCTGCCATAGGCCTTATGCCCGTGTGTACGCATCTGCCTACACACGGGCATTTACAAACACACAGGCCTTTTGCCCATGTGTAGGCATCTGCCTATACACAAGGCATTGACAAACACAAACACACAGGCCCTATGCCCGTGTGTACGCATCTGCCTACACACGGGCATTTACAACAACAAACACAATACAATACAATACAATACAATTCATTCTTGTACAGCCTTAAATCACAACAAAAGTCATCTCAGAGACTTAACAAAACCATTGAAATCACCAACACAGATCAGAGAATCAACAGTTAAAATATTATCGAACACATGTTGATAAATGTCATACATGTTGTAGAATGTTAAAGTGTCCTGGATCATCACATCCTTTTTGTTGGACACTAACTGTCCAACAGACCCTCCTGCATCAGAGGAAAAACTCAGAAGAAAAACCCAGTGTCAAAAAAGAGAGAAACCTCGGAGAGACCCACGTATTGAGAAAGGGATCCACTCCCACGGACAGACGGGCTGTAGATCCAGGACCTAAGCTACAGGACGTGGACAGGTCCGGTGCAGGACTGAAGCACTCCCAGGCGGGTCGGGCGGGGCAGTCCGCAGGTGTAGATGGAGGAGGCCAGGCTCAGAGATCCCGTCATCGTACCATGAAACAGACAATGGGACAATGGGTGAATAGCAATGAACAAACTGCAGTCAAAATCCTAATAATGGTAAACAGATAGAGTAGGAAGGAGGAGAGGATAGTGCTGTTACCATACTTCTCCAGCAGGGGGCTCCCTATGCAGCTTGACTGACAGTCTAAGATGTTTAGCCTTCCCTGAGTCTTACCTTCCTAGCCATATGCTAAACTAAAGAGGACTGTTTTAGCCTAGCCTGGAACGTAGGGTTGAAGATGCAGCGGACCGGGTCCCATATACGCAGACTCCAAGACCGGACGAGACCTGACCGGACAAACAACCTAGCCAAATGCTAAGTTAAGAAGAGTGTTTTAAGCCTGGCCTTAAATGTAGAGACAGTGTCTGCTTCCTTAACGTGGGTGAAGCTGATTCCACAGTAAAGGGGCTTGGAGCTAAATGCTCTGCCACCAACAGTGCTTTTTGAAACCTTAGGGACCACCAGACGTCTGGGGTTTTGCGAGCGCAGTGCTTGGCTTGGTTGATAAGACATTAACAAGGCTTGAAGATAAGACGGAGCCAAGCCATTTGTGGCTTTGAATGCCAAAAGAAGAATTTAGAACTTTATTCTTAATTTATTATTTTTTATTTACAAACACAAACACATAGGGCTCATGCCCGCCTACACACAGGGCATTTACAAACACATAGGACTCATGCCCGCCTACACACAGGGCATTTACAAACACATAGGACTCATGCCCGCCTATACACAGGGCATTTACAAACACATAGGGCTCATGCCCGTCTACACACAGGGCATTTACAAACACATAGGACTCATGCCCGCCTATACACAGGGCATTTACAAACACATAGGACTCATGCCCGCCTACACACAGGGCATTTACAAACACATAGGACTCATGCCCGCCTACACACAGGGCATTTACAAACAGATAGGACTCATGCCCGCCTACACACAGGGCATTTACAAACACATAGGACTCATGCCCGCCTACACACAGGGCATTTACAAACAGATAGGACTCATGCCCGCCTACACACAGGGAATTAACAAACACATAGGGCTCATGCCCGCCTACACACAGGGCATTTACAAACACATAGGGCTCATGCCCGCCTACACACAGGGAATTAACAAACACATAGGGCTCATGCCCGCCTACACACAGGGCATTTACAAACACATAGGGCTCATGCCCGCCTACACACAGGGCATTTACAAACACATAGGGCTATTCCGTGTGCACGTATCTGCCATAGGCCTTATGCCCGTGTGTACGCATCTGCCTACACACGGGCATTTACAAACACACAGGCCTTTTGCCCATGTGTAGGCATCTGCCTATACACAAGGCATTGACAAACACAAACACACAGGCCCTATGCCCGTGTGTACGCATCTGCCTACACACGGGCATTTACAACAACAAACACAATACAATACAATTCATTCTTGTACAGCCTTAAATCACAACAAAAGTCATCTCAGAGACTTAACAAAACCATTGAAATCACCAACACAGATCAGAGAATCAACAGTTAAAATAATATAGAACACATGTTAAAAAATGTCATACATGTTGATAAATGTCATACATGTTGTAGAATGTTAAAGTGTCCTGGATCATCACATCCTTTTTGTTGGACACTAACTGTCCAACAGACCCTCCTGCATCAGAGGAAAAACTCCGAAGAAAAACCCAGTGGGAAAAAAGTGAGAAAACCTCGGAGAGACCCACGTATTGAGAAAGGGATCCACTCCCACGGACAGACGGGCTGTAGATCCAGGACCTAAGCTACAGGACGTGGACAGGTCCGGTGCAGGACTGAAGCACTCCCAGGCGGGTCGGGCGGGGCAGTCCGCAGGTGTAGATGGAGGAGGCCAGGCTCAGAGATCCCGTCATCGTACCATGAAACAGACAATGGGACAACGGGTGAATAGCAATGAACAAACTACAGTCAGAATCCTAAAAATGCTAAACAGATAGAGTAGGAAGGAGGAGAGGATAGTGCTGTTACCATACTTCTCCAGCAGGGGGCGCCCTATGCAGCTTGACTGACAGTCTAAGATGTTTAGGCAAGGCAAGGCAAGTTTATTTAAATAGCACAATTCATACACAAGGCAATTCAAAGTGCCGAACAAAACAAGAAAGCATTAAAATCATAAATAATCACAGAACATTAAAAAGAAAGATAAAAATATAAAATCCCTCAGTTGTAGCACAGCTAAACAGAACTGTCTTTAACCTGGTTTTAAACATTGTCAGAGAGGAGGCCTGTCTGTTTAGCCTTCCCTGAGTCTTACCTTCCTAGCCATATGCTAAATTAAGAGGACTGTTTTAGCCTAGCCTAGAGCGTAGGGTTGAAGATGCAGCGGACCGGGTCCCATATACGCAGACTCCAAGACCGGACGAGACCGGACCAGACAAACAACCTAGCCAAATGCTAAGTCTTAGAAGAGTGTTTTAAGCCTGGCCTTAAACGTAGAGACAGTGTCTGCTTCCTTAACGTGGGTGAAGCTGATTCCACAGTAAAGGAGCTTGGAGCTAAATGCTCTGCCACCGACAGTGCTTTTTGAAACCTTAGGGACCACCAGACGTGGGTCTACCAAACTTGATTTGGGACTATTATGCATCTCAATTCAAATACATCCTTACATGGATGAATCGTGAAGTGAATCCAAAATGGATAAGTATTGAAACACACATGGCAGCTTCAGCCTCTTCCTATATCTTCTCAGGGCAATCAGTGGAACCATAAAAGAATATAATCTTAATTATCCATCATACATGCAAAATCTGGAGTAATATTTGTTGGAAATGTAAGATAAAGCCAATAGATACTGTCTTTCTTAGAGGAATCTGTCAGGACCCAGACTTTGCTCCAATTCGTACAGATGAGACTTTCAGAATGTGGAAGGATCAGGGTCTGAAAAGGTTCCATCAACTCTTTAAGAACCACATTATAGAAACTTTTGAACATTTAGAAAAGAAGTATAAGCTCCCAACTGATCACTTTTACAGATTCCTCCAAGTAAGATCGTACATAAGAGAGAAAACTCAGCCGGCTCAACCTCCTCACCGACTGATTTTACACTTTCTGAAAGTCTATGAGAATCCAAACTATAAAAATTTGTAGAGACAAATTCTCAATGATGAAAATGATAATGAAGTAAAGCAAATGAAAATACCTTGGGAAAAGAACCTCCAAAACCCTCTGACAGATGAGGAGTGGAGTTTGGGCTGTAAAAACTTTTATCTGAAGTCTCCATCCTGGCACAAGTCTGCATGAAGCTGTTGGTGAGATCCTAATAACACCTCTGTCTGTAAATGCACTGACCCAGAACAGTTCAGAGAGAGACTGCACTGAAACACAGTCATGTCTGTAAATGCACTGACCCAGAACAGTTCAGAGAGAGACTGCGCTGAAACACAGTCATGTCTGTAAATGCACTGACCCAGAACAGTTCAGAGAGAGACTGCGCTGAAACACAGTCATGTCTGTAAATGCACTGACCCAGAACAGTTCAGAGAGAGACTGCGCTGAAACACAGTCATGTCTGTAAATGCACTGACCGAGAACAGTTCAGAGAGAGACTGCGCTGAAACACAGTCATGTCTGTAAATGCACTGACCCAGAACAGTTCAGAGAGAGACTGCGCTGAAACACAGTCATGTCTGTAAATGCACTGACCCAGAACAGTTCAGAGAGAGACTGCGCTGAAACACAGTCATGTGCAGACCAACATTCAGACCGACTGGAATCAGTTCATACAAATGATCAAACATATCTGTGGCTGAAGTATGAGCCTGAAACCAAAACACCTCTTTTTTGGTTTTCAACCAAACGTTCTGGAGGAAAAATAATATTACATCTTTGGACTGTAAGAATAACAGCTATTAAACAATTAACAAGATATTGGAAGAAAACTGAAATCCACTATAGCGGCTCGGCATGAACTCAAAATATATACATTAGAAAAAAGAAATGTATAAATCTAAAAATGTTGTGTTCAATAGATGGTCGTTATATAAATACATTACAATAAAAATCAGAACATTATAAGTAAGTACCGCCTTTCACAGACCAGAGTCACAAAGCGGTTTACAATTGTTATTTTTTGGGCATTTGTCTCTCACTCCACACAGAGATGGGAGCGGGGCCAGTACAGGAGGCGCATGCCAGAACTATTGGACATATTTTTAGTGGTAGGGGAAACCGGAGTACCCGGAGGAAACCTACGCAGACACGGGGAGAACATGCAAACTCCACTTCTTGCTGAGAGGCGAGAGTGCTATCCACTCAGCCACCGTGCCGCCCACATAAATAAATCCACAGGAGGCGTTACAGCACATACGTGTTATACGTGCAGCAGACGCACGTAACATGTTTACATGTAAACCAATGGTGATATTTACACTAGTGTTATACGCGCGTATGACGGACGTATGACACACGTATGACGGACGTATGACGGACGTATGACACACGTATGACACACGTATGACACACGTATGACGGACGTATGACGGACGTATGACGGACGTATGATACACGTATGACACACGTATGACAGACGTATGACACACGTATGACAGACGTATGACACACATGACACACGTATGATGAACGTATGACGGACGTATGACACACGTATGACACACGTATGACGGACGTATGGCACACATATGACACACGTATGATGAACGTATGACACACATATGACACACGTATGATGGACGTATGACGGACGTATGACACACGTATGACGGACGTATGACGGACGTATGATGTATTTCTAGGATGGATTTCTAATTTTGTGCCCTGCAACGCGTCTCCATTGAAAACACATGTGGAAAATGATTTTTATAGTGACCCTTGGCTTTAGATCGTATCCACACACACACACACACACAGCACTTGTATCGCACAGAGACCATGAAGACAAACACATGTGGTTTGTGTTGCTCTACATCAGTCTCTGTACTGTCCTCTACACTGCTCCACAGACTACACAGGGACAGCATCAGTCTCTGTACTGTCCTCTACACTGCTCCATAGACTACACAGGGACAGCATCAGTCTCTGTACTGTCCTCTACACTGCTCCACAGACTACACAGGGAGAGCATCAGTCTCTGTACTGTCCTCTACACTGCTCCATAGACTACACAGGGACAGCATCAGTCTCTGTACTGTCCTCTACACTGCTCCATAGACTACACAGGGACAGCATCAGTCTCTGTACTGTCCTCTACACTGCTCCATAGACTACACAGGGACAGCATCAGTCTCTGTACTGTCCTCTACACTGCTCCACAGACTACACAGGGACAGCATCAGTCTCTGTACTGTCCTCTACACTGCTCCACAGACTACACAGGGACAGCATCAGTCTCTGTACTGTCCTCTACACTGCTCCATAGACTACACAGGGACAGCATCAGTCTCTGTACTGTCCTCTACACTGCTCCATAGACTACACAGGGACAGCATCAGTCTCTGTACTGTCCTCTACACTGCTCCACAGACTACACAGGGACAGCATCAGTCTCTGTACTGTCCTCTACACTGCTCCACAGACTACACAGGGACAGCATCAGTCTCTGTACTGTCCTCTACACTGCTCCACAGACTACACAGGGACAGCATCAGTCTCTGTACTGTCCTCTACACTGCTCCATAGACTACACAGGGACAGCATCAGTCTCTGTACTGTCCTCTACACTGCTCCATAGACTACACAGGGACAGCATCAGTCTCTGTACTGTCCTCTGCACTGCTGCACAGACGGCACAGGGACAGCATCAGTCTCTGTACTGTCCTCTACACTGCTCCATAGACTACACAGGGACAGCATCAGTCTCTGTACTGTCCTCTACACTGCTCCACAGACTACACAGGGACAGCATCAGTCTCTGTACTGTCCTCTACACTGCTGCACAGACTACACAGGGACAGCATCAGTCTCTGTACTGTCCTCTACACTGCTCCATAGACTACACAGGGACAGCATCAGTCTCTGTACTGTCCTCTGCACTGCTCCATAGACTACACAGGGACAGCATCAGTCTCTGTACTGTCCTCTACACTGCTCCACAGACTACACAGGGACAGCATCAGTCTCTGTACTGTCCTCTACACTGCTCCATAGACTACACAGGGACAGCATCAGTCTCTGTACTGTCCTCTACACTGCTCCATAGACTACACAGGGACAGCATCAGTCTCTGTACTGTCCTCTACACTGCTCCATAGACTACACAGGGACAGCATCAGTCTCTGTACTGTCCTCTACACTGCTCCACAGACTACACAGGGACAGCATCAGTCTC